CCGGGCCGGCAGCTGTCGCGGGGGTTTGTGTCTGTGTGTGTGTGTGTGTGTGTCCCGCTTAGCCCCGTGTCGGGACGTGCTGGCCCGCTCGGTACCGACACCGAGCCGGCAGTGGCAGGCAGAGACACGGCACGGCCCTGCCCGCACTGGAACATGTCTGCCGGCGAGCACCTCCCTTGCACGGCAAGGTGAAGGTTTTTCATCTAGAACGTGGTCAAACGATGGGAAGCAGACCGAGTAACGCCAGCCACAACTCCCTCGTCGCCTCCGCTGGAACCGTGCTGACAGACAAATAAATAAATTTTGAATCGGTATGTGCCTAATCAGTACCTGAAACACCAGCGGAAACAAGCTGGCAAGGACCTAGAGGCAGGCGCTGGGATGTGGGCACGGCAGGCCGTTGCCTGCTCCGACAGCCAGAAAACAGTGATGGCATAGGTAAAGGGGGAGCCGAATGTCGCAATGGCTGGAGAGCAGCTCTGCCACTGAAAATCCACGAACTGGTTTGGTTTTAAACTACTGCATGGCAAGAAACGAGATGCTGAGCTTGGCACACAAGGCCCCTGGAAAATGTGATTTATGTCTCTCTTTTGACAGAGCTGTTATAAATATTCATAATATTTGTAATTTTGGGAAAAGTGCTTGTTTTGGCATGTAGTTTGGAATAGAAAACTAACTTCCAGGTTGGCCTCTGCACGGACAAATCTGGACTCTGGTTACTGCCCTGCTGTAGAATGTGTTTTTGTTACCGAAAACCTGCTACACGGCAGTTTTCAGGAGGTTCACAGTGGGGCTGGAGTATTAACTAAAAAGAAATGCCTAAGTAATTGATGGTGGATTTCAGTGAATGAGCAGAAGGAAATGAACACGGGGTTTCACCATCAATGGCAAAATATTGCCATGGTAATGGGTAGCTTTGCCAGGAATAAACAAACAAACAACAACAGGCCTCTTCTTTCAGAAAAAAGTTAGAGAATTTTGTGTTCTCACCTCACCAAAGTCAGTGCCTTTGGACATCTCGGAGGGGAGAAGGTGGTGTACCCTACTTATGCAAGTCCCACAAATCCAGCTCCCTTCTCAGCCATTACAGTTAGATCATTTCCAGAGCAAGAAGTAACCTTTATACCCAAGGGAAGGCATCGACATTTACTTTATAATGATTTCAGTGCTTTGGTTACTGTAATTCTGTACCATTTTCTTACAGAAGGTGGAAGGGCTTAGAAATAACGCAGCTCTGTGTCACTCTTAGTTGAAGTCAATCCTGCTTCAGGAGAGACTGCTGACAGGGAAGATTTTCTTAAGAGCAAAAACATGGGCCTGCACTTAAATTAATAAAGAGCTTTTAAAAAACGCACCACAGAGAGCAAGGGAGCTGAGAAAGCACAAAACACCCTTTTCTGCAGGCATGGGTGACTGGTGGGGAGCATGCCAATGCATGGGCACTGGAGTCCTCTCCCAGCAGGGCGTTTGGAGGTGGCCCTTTGCCTCTGAAAGCTTTCTGGATGTTTCTGGCCATCCCCAGAGTCCATCAGAGGATGCAGTCCCACCACTGGGTGTGAGCTAAATGGGTCTCCTCTCAACCCAGGGAGTCAGACCTCAGCCACCACCCAGGCAAGGATTCAGCAACATTGGGATCCTGCCTAGTATCCATACACTGAGTTTCTTGCAGTTTTGCAGGCTATTGTTCTCCTTTGCCATCTTTCACCCGCAGCATGTGAAATTCCTGCTGGGCACCCATACCAGGGTGTGCTGGTGTGCTCTAGGGCCTCACTGGTGGTGTTCCTGAGGAAGACAGACATGGCCCAGGAGTTGGTCTTGAGATTTCATGGCTTGTAAAGCAGGAGAAATGGGCCAGAGCCAGGTGGCTATGTGGAATCAAGAAGAATTAACCAGAAGAGAGATCTCATCAGGAGATCAAGTATCTGGTGAGGACACAGCACCTACATGAAGGAGCCAGTAGCGAGCATGACTGTATTAAACTGCTGTACCATTGTGTCGACCCTAGTATGCTTTCTGTTCTGTATAACATAAACAGTACTGCCAGTCTGACAGGCAAGTGTCAAGACCTATTAAAGTTTGCAAAACTCTCCTAATAGTAATTCTATATCAGAAACAAAAATAAAAATCATCCTGTGTGGCTTTCCAGCTATTTGGCATTCATTAGTTTTGTCTTACCATTCTTTATATTACACCTAGGTGCTGCTGAAGTTCCCTGTAAAATACTTGATGTAGTTTACTGTAGTCTTCAGGCAGAAAACTGTATCTTACAGAGTATTCATACTGCACTTAGCACTAATTTCAATTGCAGCCTCCAGGCAGTATTGTAAGGATTCATTATTACCATCAAGATCTGTCCCTATCCTGTCACTTTTCAAAGAAGGTCAATTTTTAACTGCAGGTTTAACATAGCTGGTGTTTAAATAAAAATTTTCTTTTTTCCATCTAAAATGATCAAACCAGTCTCCAAGCAAATACATTTTTAAATTTGAACTTTTAATTAATGTTGTCCATTTTGAATGGTGCTTGATCGACTTTATTTAACCAGCTCCGAAAACACGTAACAAATAAGAATGGTTCTTTGGTTCTTTTCTTAAAAAAAAAAAAAAAAAAAAAAAAAAAAAAAGCAGTTGGGGTTGCATGAGAAAATATTTTGTTTAGGAATGACAGTTATAGGCATTCTCTCATACATTGTAATATTTTCCATGTGTGGCAGCTTGTTTTTCAGTGGTACAAATATGTGCAATAAGGGCTAAGGATAAAAATTAATCTAACAGCTTTTGCAGCAATGCTTTTGATGGTTTCACTCGATTTCATTTTCCTGTGAATACTGCCGTTAGTTCTGCTGCTTGCAATATATGAAGCATAATTCTCAAAGGTTCACGAGGTTGTAGGGATCCAGTAAGAGATGACTGATTTCTCCCCCCACGCACATTCACTCCACCCCACACCCACTCACCCACCCACCAGCAAAACATAATGCTGTACTATTTTTGGTAACAGGGAAAGGGCCTCCCCCTGAAAACAGAAAGCAGTGTATTTCTCAGTTACATCACTTTGCAATCTAATGCTGTGTTGTGCTCAGTGTTTTTGTGGTGATGCAAGTCTTTTTTTTTTTCCTTTTTTTTTTTTTTTTTCTTTTTTTTTTCCCTTCAGCCGGCTGGATTTTCCCCATCTTACAGCACCTCGCAGGTCTCTTCTCTGAGCAGTACGTTGCCTGAGTGAGTGGAAACATACAGATCAGCTGCAGGTTTCTGTCTACAAAAACAGAGTGAAAGAGAAAGAAAAGGGTTGGGAAAGCAGAGACAAATATTGACCTGGACTTATAGAAAGACATCCAATGGCTGAATAAAGAACCCCTGTTCATGTTTTGGGATATTCTTTCAACTGGCTGGAACGAGAGCGGATCAAAAGAATGGGAAATGCCAGCAGACCCTTTAGAAGAATTGCTTATTTCTTATGCCTTTTATCTGTGCTTTTGCTGACTGAAGGGAAGAAACCAGTGAAGCCAAAATGTCCTGCCTGGTGTACTTGTACCAAAGATAATGCTTTATGTGAAAATGCCAGATCTATTCCTCGCAGCGTTCCGCCTGATGTTATCTCACTGTAAGGGCTGTAAGCATTTGGTTATTTAATTTATGATTTAAAATGAACGAGGATGTGTGGTGTTTTCAGTGCATACGGAAGGATGCTTGCTGCAGGGAGTACCTCCAGCATTCAGAATCATCAGCTAATGTGTTAAAATTGTGCTGCATCCTTGAATACTGATTTTTTCATATCTTTCATCTGTCTGTCTGTCTGTGTATGTGCACACATCCCATTTCATACCTTCTTCTATACTACATAAAACCTGTAACATTCTTTTTTTTTGTTTTTTTCCTTCTATAAATAAATTTATCTGTGATGACCAGATCAGTATTATAACCATGTATATATGAGACTACATTAATATAAGGTTGTTTTTTTCTTCTTTCCAGATCCTTTGTGAGATCTGCTTTTACTAAAATCCCAGAAGGGAGTTTTTTGCTCACACCATCTCTGCAGCTTCTGTGAGAAATATTTCTATCATACAATTTTTGTTATGAAATGTATATGTATCCATAAATATTTTAGAAAGGGTCTCAGTATTAATTTTGTAAGAAACTGGAAGAGAAGATTCATTAGATGAAAAAATACAAGACTTTTTAGCAATTTGAAAGACAGTGCATGTTTAATTTTTTCAAAGTGTGTCTACTTAGTATTTTGCAAGGCTATCTGTTGTCAGAGCTACTTTGAATGATTAGATGCTGAAGCTTTTGGTGACAGAATGTATGACATCTTTATTATACTTTAATTAACATTAAAGTAGGGACTTGAGCATTTCAACAACTATTCGTTTCTTTTATGCAGTCCTGGGGCCTGATCCCAGTAGAAAGCTGCCCATCTGCAACTCTCACTGACTGTGGGCTCAGAACCCCTTAGATCAGGCCCTTCACTGCAGTGGGACAGGTCCTGAAGTCCTTTTCCGTGTAAAATTGCCATTGACTTATGTGGAAGTTTAGCTACTTCAGTGGGAGTTTTGACTTCATAGAGCCTGGGTTTGACCCTATTTGTTATTTCATGTTCTTTGAAAAAAACCCACAGAAGTAATGAAGACTTTATTTCAATATAAAAATGTATGCAGTTATTTCAGAATTAAATACTGTGATGAGGTATATGCAGGAAGAGAATATTTTGGGATGTTGAAATATTAAGATGCATTTCTATATAGGATTTTTACAGGCTCGCAGGCTTTCCTAGAAACGTGGGCATACGATTATATAATTGCGAGCTATACAGAGGTAGAGGGGGTGTAACCTGGACTGTTTATAGTGGATGTGCTGCCAGCCTGACACACACCCAGATTTCTCTCAGAAATCCGGCAAGACAGACTCCCTGATGTGATCAAAATCAAAATCAGACGTCTGTTCCAGATGGACTTCCTGTGCACTGTAGATGTGGTCAGAGGTGTAATGTTGATGTATTGGAGCCCTACGGCTGTAAGATCAAACTGCTGGTGCACCGATAGCTGAAGCCCTGACCCTAGCTGTACTCTACTACCTCAAGTGGAGCTGATAAGGAGGTGCAGACGAACTGTACAATTTTGGTACAGGGTAAATAGGTAAATGCAGTTACTATGGAAACCTAAATGCTTTTCCATGGTGCTTTATTCTGGAGAAGCTTCTCCCAGGTGGTCACAGATCACAAAAGGGACATATTTCACGTAATTCCTGCAATGGGCCTTTCATAGGAAAGAAAAAAATAGCAGCATTGGTGGAGCTCGTATCTGAAGAGAGTGAGTAGGACATCATCTCTCTTGGTTACAATACACCACTTACACTTAGCAATCCCACTGCCAGGGAGGCAGAATTGGGTAGGGTGGAGTAGGACAGACAGTCATATTATTTTGAGTTATTACAGGACCTGGCACAGTGGGGTCTGACAATGGCTTACAGCATTTTGGTAATGGTAATAATTTGCATGATCTCTCATACACTGAAACGTGTGTTCTAAGCTGCTGTTAATAAATGCTGCTTCAAAAGGTCCGACCCCAGAAAAGCAGGTTTTGTTCCATTATGGGTTTTGACAAGTTCTGTTTTGCAGATATATTTCTAACATGGTAACTGAGCTACTTGTCATCTTCAAAAAGTCAGGCTGCTGATGTAAGGCAAATGACTCCTTAAACACAGACCATAGGAGCAGGATTATATCTGTGGGGCCAATACTCCAGTTTGTATGTGGGAAAGAAAAATTTCTACCTTTGGCAGAAGATAGTAAGGGAAATAATAATATGGATAACTCAGGTTAATTAAAAATTATACTGTTAGCTTTGCATGATTATAGGTGTATTAGTAGTTTTAACTTAGTCAATAGCAAGATTTAGCAGCCTATATGTGTTTCTATGTAATAGTCTCCAGCTAATGTAACTTGGTATCTCCAGTATGCCAGTCATATATTTCTTAGTGTGACATGTATCTGCTGCTATTATTATTTACTACTATTTTCACTGTAATAGCAGCAGTGGTCTCTAGAAAAATCATGGTCTCATGCTAAACACTACTCGTAAGTCCCAGGCCAGGACAGCCTTTCCTCTTGAATAAGCATGAATAGTATACTCTGTGCTCTTCCTGTGACAACAAAAATACGAAGGACCTACACAGCTATGGTGAAGTGCCAGTGTTCACTAAATGTAGAGAAAACCTCCCCACTCTTACCTCCAGCACTCGTAACTCTGTGTATCAGCAATGTGCTGAGAGTGCTCTTACAAACTGATGATGTGAAAGCCCGTAGAAAGAAGGGAGGTAATCATGGCACCAGGATCCATACCTGCTAGCAGCGTACCTTTCCTGCTAAGCAATATAGTCACGAGCTATAATGCAATATGGTCAGCCTCTGTCCCCAGAAGTAGTTAGCTGGTGGGTCACAGACCAAGCAAATCTGGTGTTCGAAGCCAAAGAGTGAGAGAAAAGTCACTGTGCATCAAATAAGTGTGATACAGCCCCTGGGGAGAGGTACGAGATGGGAGGCAAATGAGCTCACCAAATGCAAGACCTATACTATAAGCCTGGCAATCTCTAAAATAGCTATACTATTTAAAGAGATACCACCCTGTTCTTTAAATTGCAAGGAGGGTAGAGTGCAGAAAAGGAAAAATTATCCAGTGAAATCACATCAGAAAAATAAAATTAGTTGCAGGCATCAGATTTACTAAATTGTTCTTCTGGTTCAGAGATTTTACAAAAATACTTATTTTCTCTTAAGAAAGAGAACTATTTATTGTTTATAACAAAAGAAGAATTTCCTGCTTATATTTTGCATACATATAAAGTGAAAAAAGCACAGTCTGCAATAGCCAAGCACAAAAATAAATCAATTGCAATTTATTCTTAATACAAACTTCAAAATAAGAGATTAACTTTTAAAATTTGTTAATTCATACTTGGAGATCTTGCATTCCTGAATGCCTAAGGATGTCATAGTGTAAATCCATCATGTCCAACTGAATAAAATATAGATGTGCATCTAGTATTCCACTGGGGTAAAGTTCATTGTACTTGACAATGCCTCACCATATTAAAGGTGTGGCAGTCCAGAGCTGAATTAAAATGGACAAATGAAAACATGACTGATAAGCATACGTAAAGCTGGAAAAATCAATGCTAGTCCACTTTTAATGCTTACAAAATTACATAAAATTAAATGTGTTGCTGGTTTTTTACTGCTAGATGGATGAAAAATACATGCACACACTAAGAGCTATCTCCAGCAGGTATAATGTGGTCTTAAAAATAGTTCTGATTTGAACACTGACTAAATTAAGAGATTTTTCTATTTTTTTCTCACTAACTTCTCAGTACCCTCAGGTCAAATATGCTCACAAGTTTAACTTATAAATTAGAGGATTTTCCTGCTTGTCAGTAGTACAAATTCAACCTGATGTCTGGCTAACCAGCAGGATACTTTCCCTATGTTGTCATCAAAAGTAAATGTTCTTCAAGACAATTTAGACCTCTGTAGTAGTTGAACATTTCATTGTTGTCCAAGTATGTCTCCAGTGGCACTTGTACAATCCCATTGTTTTACTGGCATGGTAAACCCACGTTTACATCCCACAGAAGTCAATGGAATTTTATCAGATGGACCCAGTAGGCAAAGCAATGAGTTGCTGGGTCCTTCCCTTTGCACCAAACTGTGGTGCAATGTATCAGCCTTACAATCCTGTAATGCTTGCACATACAAAACCATGAAACCAGGCCATGGAAATCTGGCCTACCATTGCTTGCTGAACCATTTTCTAAAGATGCTAATAACCTAACGGTCTTTTGTTTTGCATCTCTTTACACAGATTGTTTACATCCAACACTTTTGATGTTATTAGTGATGATGCTTTCATGGGCCTTCCTCATCTAGAATATTTGTGAGTGGACAAAAGTATATTTCCTGGCATTATTGAATAGAGTGGGTGGGCTTCCAAGTTCCAGGCATTGCTTTGACCAGAATGACTTTACGACCCGTTACAGGTTCATAGAGAACAACAGCATTAAGTCAATTTCAAGAAATACTTTCAGAGGACTGAAATCTTTAATTCACCTGTAAGTAAAGTGGTTGAATATATTACTTAGTATATTTAATATAGTACTGAACCACTGTGTTGCTGAATTTTGCATTTATCAAAATCTATATCAATATAGTTGTTCACATTTACTTAAGCAGTATTAATAGTCTTTTAATTAGAATGTTAATCTTTGTGCTTCCACCACAGACTTCCAAACTGTGGTATGTGTAGAAGGCCAGGACCCAAAGAGCTTCCAAGCAGTGCATGTTTGGCAGTAGCTCCCTGACTTCCTCTGCTCAGAACACTGTGGATTTCCAGCTGTGTGTGTAGGAGCAGGGAGAAAGCAGGATGGGTCAGGAAACCTGGCACGGACAAGGCAAGTCCCAGTTTGGGACTTGGAGAGGAGGAGGGTGTGGGTGCTATGGTCAGCACTGAGGTGCCACAGTGGTGAGAGGCTGGCAGGTGGACACACAGCGCTTCCCAGGTACCCCAGTCTGATGTGTATCCAGAAGAGTATTATAGCCATTCCTGAGACAGGCCATCACTGTCTGTACCTGTGTCCCATTCAGCCACTAATCATATCCAGTAGAATTTGACCAAATCAAACTTATAAATTCCCACCCAGAACAATTTTAAATAGAAGAGTTGCAACAAGACGCATTTATTATGACTTACTGATCCACTTCTTCTACTTAACTGGTAGGGCATAGCAGCCTTTAGACTCCAGCAGGATTGGCTCAAAGCCCTGCACCGCACCCTGTCCACTCCTGCACGTGCGCAAGAGCATCCCACAGTTGGGATCTGTCAGGCACTGACACCGGGGTCTGCTTAACATTCCTCAGGTTGCTGCTCAGCCCTTCAGCAGTCCTGGAAAGACGGCCAACCCTTCCCCTCTGACATGCTGTGGCCCCCTTGCTGCATTAGCCGAGAGGGGAAATTAGTCAAAGGCACTCTGGCTGTTAATGTGGCTGTTGGAAGCAATGCTTCCCATGCTCACGCCAGCTGAGGCATTTCTCACGCAGCGCTCAGCAGGTGTAACACACACTGGCAACAAATACCTGTAACATTTCACTGCAAACACAGGAGTAGCATCCTTACAGTCAGAGCTAGCAAGACAGTTTTAAAACAGGCTTTTGTCTCTGACCTTATATCAAGTTTATCTATTTGCAATTTAATTTAGTTTAATTTAATTTTAGGAAGTGATAAATTTATTCCAAATACAATATGTACTCCAAGAAAACATAAAAAATACAAAAAAACTGTAAGAAAAGGAGGCTAAAACATCTGGGGTGTGCCTGACGTGGGTTTATACCCAGCTGTGAGCTTTTCCATTCTGAGGCATGTATCTTGGGGGGTGTGTCATAGGCAGGGGAGTGGATTCTGACCTTTTGGCCTTAACACAATAACCTCCAAGAGGGTTTTGAAACAGGGTCATTTAACTTTTTCTTTCTTATATTTTGACACAGGAGAGAAAGCAGAGGTTCCATTTTGAACAGTTAATGCATAAATATAATAGTTGAATTGCAATTCACCACATCCTTCACCACATAGTAAATGTACCATAAAACACTTTAGTCTTCCTTTTCTGGTCAGAACAGACAGGACTCATAGCTGGCTGAAACCAAGCCTACTGAGACTACTGGTGTAGGTGGCTCTGGGTCTGAGGAAGAAGAAAGAAAGAGGAGAGGGAAAAAAGTATATAAACAGGCTGTGCACATCCCATAAAAATCTGTATTAGAGGTATAGGCATAATTATAGCATTGTTAAAAAAGGCAGATAATTGGATAAGGATGGTAACTGGGACCCTATCTTCAAAATATTTATGCACATGAATAGCTTTATATTCACAAATGGGTCCAGTACATTATTTATCATATTCATTTACTTATTTAGTAGCTCTTGCTGCCAGTGAGCAAATTGCTTTTCTAACACAGAGGAAGGCACAGTTTCTTCTCCACAGAGCATACAGACTAAGAGTAATGTCTTGCCTGTTACATTGGTTTCTGGGGATGCTTCGGCAGTTTCGTAAGAGAAAACACATGAAAAAGGCAGAACCACATTTGAGGAGCCAATGTGGTTTGCATGTGCTTGCATGCACATTTTTGGGACATAGATTTGTGCATCATGCTGCTATTGTGCATAGAGCGCTATTCATGAAGACAATAAGAAATTTGTAGAAAATAACTGCATAGGCAGGTCCATTAACCACATAATGTGACTAGTTTTATTTGCTTGCAGAACCACTCCCCACCCTTTGGGGAAAATTGCACATACAGTTAATAATAATCATTTGGCACCCTGAGGCATTTCTCATTTAAGAAACATGAAAGTACTAGTGTACATAAAATATATTTAAAAGTATCATAGTAAATAATCATACAAATGAATTCCATGAAGTTAGAGAAGATGAAATTTGTTCTATTTATTCTGTTTGCTTCCTTTTCACAACATAACTTTTGCAATGCAGTAAGCTATCCAAACATTTGTATTTTTGTAATGCAATTAACTGATAATTATAGCATGTCCTTATTGTAATACAGAGCCATCTAGTATTTGTTGTTATGCAACAGGATTTATTTTCTGCCCAGAGTAGATTTAAGAACAGGAAAATTAAAGAAAAATAGCATTTTTTTTACTAATTTACTAATTTAATGTCAAGTCTTAGTTAGAGTTGGACAATAATTTCTATGCAAAACATAGAATTTGACTGCATTTCTTTCAGACCATAAGTTTAACTGCATGTTTGCTTCAACTGTTCCTCTCTTATTATAAACCAAATACCATGTACAGCACCATCTAGGCAAACCAGTGTTTTCTAATATATGCTTTTTAACAGTGGAATATAAAATGCATACTTTTAATCCCAAAATTGGCAAATGTGTGAAACCTTATGTAAATTTTTCCGTCAGTCATATTCCCATGGTAGTGGTGAACCACTGCTACTTCAAAGTACATCATCCCTTTCAATTTGCTATATAATAATATACAAAGAATATATAGGGCATTAAACCTGCCTCAGCTTGCAAGTCTACTTAGCTTTCTCCATATGAGTTACCTGACTTTTAAAGAATTGCTCTTGACTGTAAAATTAAGCATAAGTGAAGCACATGATACATACACCGGTGTTAGAATCAGATGTACTTTGGAAGTGGTGAAGTCAGAATGAACTAATGGCATAATCCCATATTTACTACTCCTGATAAGGCAAACACTTAATTTTAAATGAGGCAGCAGACCTAGTATATGTGGGTCTGTTCTTGAATTTAAGGATATGCCTAAGTGGTTTTGCTTGGCTAGAGAATTTGTAGTTAATAAATAACTTTTAGGTTTACCAGCAAAACCAGAAGAGTTTCTAAGCCTTACTAGCTACAGATTCTAACTGGGATCTTAACCTAGAATGATTTATTTCCATTTTCATTTCTTCTCATAAGTAATAAATAATTTTGTTAGTCAAAAGAGGCATAAGCTGTACCCTACAACATTATTCTTTTCCAGTCATGCCCTCAGTGACATCTCAGAGAACCCAGACCTTTGGTGGACTCAAACCGACATGTTTGATTGAAATGTAATATATTGCTTGTTTAAAGTCTGCTCACATTTCCTCGTCACTTTTATTATCTAGAATACTCACTGAATTTAAACGAGTTTCCCAACATTAAAAATTAGGAACTGACAGCAGTTTTTTGCTGTTCTCACACATACTCACACACACACACACGCACATTCCAGTAGAGAAATTTGTGCTGATCAGCAATTTCTTGTCTATTACTGCACATTTCCAAAAACTATGAGCTACACCTAAGTCCACTGGAATAAAAACTAGTATTAAGATTTTCCTTCCAGAAGATATACAATGTGGGGAAATGGCAGTAATATGAATACCATGTATTGGTATCTCATAAGGAAAACATCAGTAGATCCAATCATGACTGATTGTTTTAAAATAATGGTGTTGGCTTAACACCAGAGGTAATTGCACTTTTTACCTTGCTAAGTATTGTAAATGCTGCAAAGCTGCTGAAGAGTGAGAAAGCAGAAGGAGGTATGGCATTTAAGTGGAAGAAAAAGTTGCAAAGTAAATGAGCTATTCTTAAAAGCAGTATTTTAGAACTAAGTGCTGGAGAATACCAGAGTTCTTTACCTTAAGAAAAAAATCCCACACAGTATTACACCTTGCAAAACTGTTATTTCATGAACTAGCACTGATACTGAAGTGTCTTCTTTTACAGGAGTCTCGCAAATAATAATCTTCAATCGCTTCCAAAAGACATATTCAAAGGCTTGGATTCTTTAACAAATGTGTAAGAAAGCAATTAATTAATCTATTAATTATACTAAAAATATAAAGACATTATTTTAGAGGACATTCTGAGTAACCATTCAAACTGATAGCCAGTAATGGGATCTTACTACTAGGTAGAGACTACCCAATATGGGTAGGCTTGGTTTTTGTCTTCTGTTGTTGATAATTTGCTTTAGTTTTGAATATTTTATAAGTTATGAAGATAAGTAATATTGTTTGTAGTTATGTAAGAGAGCTGCATGTTCATTAAGACTTAGTGAATATGAAGGAAGCATCCTTAGGGATGCAGGAGAGAGCACGGCATGAAGGGAGGGTGGAAGATATTTAATGCAGTAACATTTCTACGTGCAAATAATTTCTGGGAAGGCTATCTTTTATCACAAAAGTATGTGTCTTAATAAGTAGCATATCCCACACTAAATCTTAACTGCAACCAAACCAAAACATGAACTTGTTTAAATATGTAACTTAAATACCAGTAAAAATACAAAATACAGGTAAATCTCATAGTTGCTTCACTGAAATATGTCCTGTTTACAACACACCAAATTCTGGTTCACCTGATTTTGGTTAATGAGCACAAAACATCCTTTGCCTGCTCCTTGTATTAACAAGGTAGTCTGGATTCATAGTGTAGAGCTGCAGTAGTAAGATGTGGAGATGGTCACCTGATTTGGTAGCATTACCTGGCATGACTGATCATGGCCAGGTGGTTACACAGTCTGGTGCTGGCACTTGTCCGTTCCTGTACATACATCTGAAATCTGACTGAAGACAGCTGTAAAAGACTTGAACAGAACTCCTGAACTCCTTTGCTTGCATCTCTTAAAGCCCTAAATGAGTATATCCAAAGGAGACAGCAAATACTGACCATCAGGTTACATTCATTCTGGTTTTGTTATCTAGAATGCTTATATTGAGAAAGGGTAATCCAAAAGAAGCAACCTCCTGAAATATGGGATCAACAGTTGGTAGGCTTTTGTGCACCTGTAAACTTAGGGAAATAAATAATTTCCTACTGACCATCAAGTTAAATTCTCCTTGATTACCTTAACGTAATTAAATCTGGGGGCGTTCTGGTATATAGATTTAACTATGGGTCAGGACAAATTAAGCCAGGGATGCATCAATTGAAAATAAGCAAGAGGGCATATATTTAACAAGACCCCAGTTTGTTGTTGTCCTGCAAAGAGGATGATCAGCTGACTACTTATTTTCAATGCATGATTTATTTGTTGTAGAGATCTTAGAGGCAATGCATTTAATTGTGACTGCAAACTGAAGTGGTTGGTGGAATGGCTGGGCAGCACCAATGCAACAGTTGAAGACATTTACTGTGAAAGCCCGCCAGAATATAAGAAGCGCAAGATCAATAGCCTCTCTCCAAAAGAATTTGATTGCATTATTACAGGTAATGTGCTTCAAATAATTTAATCTTGTTAAATTTAAGTCGAAGCTATGTATTTTTTATTCTAGGGTCCATTTTTGCAGGAGGTCTGCATACTGGATGGAACTTCCACTAAAATCAGTATGAATTCTGTGGAGGTGTAAGTCTGACACACACTTGGGAGTGGGGTCTTATACTGCAGCTTCTACTCAGATTTAATATGCTATATATGGATTTGGAGAACTGGGACATAAACCAGCACCTCTTTTAATTGAGAAAGATTGACAAACAAGTTGCAGTGCTACTTTATCAGGAAAATTGGACTACTGATGAAATACTGTAATTTGTAATAAATCTGTTAAGCAGATGTTTTTTCAGTACAGTATGGAAAGTATCTCTGTAATTATGTTATGTGCACTTTTGCAGAATTTGAAGTTTATCAGTCCCTGCCATACCAATCTCTGTCAGTAGACACTTTCTCATATATGAATGATGAACATGTGGTTATTGCTCAGCCTTTTACTGGAAAATGCATCTTTCTTGAATGGGACCATGTAGAAGTGATGTTCAGGAATTATGATAACATTACAGGTATGAACACTGCTTGACAAATAACGTTACAACAGACAATCCAAAAAGTGGTGCTAACTCTGTCTTTTACTCTTCTTTTTATAGGTACTTCAACTGTTGTGTGTAAACCTATAGTTATTGAGAGTCAGCTGTATGTCATTGTCGCACAGCTGTTTGGAGGCTCCCACATATACAAAAGAGATATTTTTGCTAATAAGTTTATAAAAATTCAAGATATTGAAATCCTTAAAATCCGAAAACCCAATGACATTGAAACTTTCAGGATTGCTGAAGACTGGTATTTTGTTGTTGCAGACAGTTCAAAGGCTGGTTTCACCACAGTTTACAAATGGAATGGGAATGGATTTTATTCCCATCAGTCTCTGCATGCCTGGTACAGAGATACTGATGTGGAGTATCTTGAAATATCTGGCAAACCACATTTAATTCTGTCGAGTAGTTCCCAAAGACCTGTAATATATCAATGGAACAAAGGAACAAATGAATTTGTTAAGCGTTTTGATATCCAAGATATGGAAGATGCATATGCAGTGAAACATTTCAAAGTGAAAGAGGATGTATACATTTGCTTAACAAGATTTATTGGGGACTCTAAAGTAATGAAATGGGGTGGTTCAGCATTTCTGGATTTACAAAGGATGCCATCCCGAGGGTCAATGGTATTCCAACCGCTTCAGATAAGTAATTATCAATATGCCATTCTTGGAAGTGATTATTCTTTCACTCAAGTCTATTATTGGGATGCTGAAAAGGCAAAATTTGTGAAGTTTCAAGAATTAAACGTACAGGCACCAAGATCTTTCATACATGTCTCCATCGATAAACGAGATTTTCTCTTTGCTTCAAGTTTTAAGGGAACCACATTGATTTATAAACATGTCATAGTTGACTTAAGCGCATGACACTCATAATTCTGAGATTACGTCAGACTTTCTACCATAAGTGGACAAAATGAACTAAATGCATGATGACTCTCTTATCTTACTTCCAAATGAATGCCTTTAAAAGTTGAGATTGCTAGAACAAAGTATTACTAGTATCTTCATCTTTAATTGTCAAGTCTAGTGTTGTTGGAAATTGCATTTTTTAACAAAAAGAAAATAAATTAACTGTTCTTTGCATCCACAATATGTAAATATGTGTGCAACTGCATCTGTTGCTATAAAGAATATTAAGATGTAATTTTCCATTTATTTATTCACCTGTTTGAAACAACTGCCAAATAAAATGTTTACATTTTGTGTCTTTCACATTCCAAATATTATTTGCAGGTGATACTTTTTATTTGTGTATATATTATACACATAGAAAATAAACCCCAGAAGGCATTTTGCCCAGTGCAGTGTCATATTGCACGGAAGATGCACAATATCAAAGATCGGGTGGGTTTTACATTTAACAAGAACGTCTTGATAAAAATACAGCATTGGACCCCAATCCTGTAAATTATCAACTGGACATGTCCTTGCATTTATGTGAAGCTTCACTGATTTAAACAGGACTCCACTGAGAAAAAAGCATTCAGTTATATAGATCCCGTTGTAGGATGGGGGTTTGTACTGTGTATAGCTGCAAGTATCTGATATTCTAAAAATTTACAAAGAAATTAACAGAACAAAAGATGATGTAAAGGTCTGTTTTTCTCCCTCTCATGCAGAAGCAGCACAAAGCAAATCTCTGGTGTAACACTGTGGTTGTTACTGTGCTGAAAACTATAGAAGCACAGCTTATTCTTCAGCTAGCATAATTTCTATATCTGAACTGTCACACATCACCTGTATGAATTTTGTGTGTCCCTGTCAAGTTTTTCCACTGTAGTTCCAATTATTTAATCTTCAATTAATTTATTGATTATTCTGAATGAATCTAGTGAACGCAAAGTCTTTTTTTTCCACTATCGTGCAATAAAGTTTAGTAACAGGTACTTCTGAAATTCAGGGAACTTTGAATATGGCAGGCCAAACTCAGTTGGTGTAGCACATGCAAATCCAGGAAAGCTACTTATATCTATTAAATTATGCCAAGTCAGAATTTGGCATGAAAATCTGTTACAAAGTTAAAATAGCTTTTTTGTTTGTATACATCTAGTGCATCACTTGTGAGAAACCTATACTGCTGCTGAAGATCATTGGTGCAGCTCAGGAAGAGAGCTCAAGTTAATTTTAGACACCTTGCACTTCACTGGAAGTTATCAAGCTTTGTGCTCCAGTGCCATCTTTAAAATATACACATGAATACTGCATATGTTTATACACATTTCTAACATTCACAGATGTTGACTGGCAAATAAGACTTATCATACTATGCATGTCAGTTAATCACACAAGCTGATTCTCCAAGCTGGCTGCTCCCTGTACTCACAGAGACCCCCACACCAGCAGAGCATTATGGTGCTGTTGAGAGCACCTGCAGCAGAAAAATAATCATTAAGAAAAAAGACGTATAATGTATATTTTAAGAAGCCAGTTGCAAACAGTATGCTTCTGTAATAAAGAATAGAGGGGTTATTAAATATTACTTGAAAAGAAAAAAATCCCATGTGAACACCACTACTTAAAATTTTTCTGATGCCTTTTTATCCATAGCTAACTATGCTCTGATCAGTATTTGGCTTAATAACTACCTATTCCATAAGTATTTACCGTGTGACTAGAAAGATTTTAAACTGTTTCACAGTTGAAATTTTTTCTTAACAAATACATTTCCAGAAATCATCTTGATAATTCATCACTTGCTTGGCAGGTTTCCATTATAAATTTTTAGCTTTTATATGAGCATGATTTCAAACCCCAGATGAACCCAAATAATCTCTTTTATTACTTCTCAATGTTGGCTGCCCATCTGTGATCTCCAGCTCAGTTTGTCCGTCTCTTCTTCAATCCACCCTGCATGGCAAGGGAATGAAATGGAAAGTCATGAACCAATCACCAATCTACCAGCAAATCATGAAGTGCTTTCTACTTCATCTTGTCTTTTGTTTCAATCTTTTACTTAAGGTCCTATTGAATTATGTGCACTGATTTTGATCTGATTTCTCCCATTATACTTGTCTACATGCACTCTCTATCAAATTATATAGATAATGGCTATGTATCCTCATTAAGGAAATATTATGGACATCTGGCTGAGTTTAAGTGGAGTTGAGTAACCTTGCTAATCTGCTACCAACATTTATTTACAAACACTATGCCCCAATATATTGCCTCTCAGTTGTACCTTGAGAAGGTTGTGTTTCATGGAATTACATTTCAGGGACAGCCAGCTACATACCCTGTGCTGTAGTAGTGCTATGATTGTTTTCCTGCATTAACTTTTTCTGAAATAATATGTCAGATTTATGGGAATTCACTCTTACTCCTCGGTATAAAGGAAGAATTTAAAAGCCTGCAAAGGTGTGAGTCACTAGAATTTTACATTCACAATACCTGTAAAACTACCCATGGTGCAGTGGAGGGTGGTAAAGGATTAATCTGCTGGATTAATCTGCTGAAGTACACAACTGTGTTACCAGTTTGGTTGTTCCTTCAGGAAATTTTACCTGTAGTCAAGCACTAATGATTTGGGGAGTTCTTAATGCCTATGTCATTTTTGGAAAGTCAGCTAATGACTACAAAATGCTGAATCTGAATCTGTTCTCTTGAAAATCCCTTTCTCTAGACAATTTATGTCAGGTGGAGATTCACAGACGATTTCTTATTGTGCAAGTATAGCACTTCATTGCACCACATAAGGAATTGGGGTATTTTTAGAACAGAACTCATAATCCTTAACGTAGCAGAGCGTAAAGGCTCATTAGGTGGCTCCCTATGCTGTTTCTTCCTAATTTCAGAGACTGGGCATTTTAACAGCTCCTCTGAGCATAAGGCCATATTCCACTCTGGTTCTCTGCTCAGTATTCCTTCTGGTATTAGTGGAATTCCCAGACAAAAAATAAAATAGAACTTTTTATGATATATTAATTTGTAATATTTTTAAACATTGTTTAAAAATTCAATTTCTTTCAGCAAAGTCTATGTTACTTGTGGCTGACTAGTTGTCTTCTGCAGTTGTAATGGGTTTTCTAAACTCCCCAATCGTTTTATGAGTGAGTATGTAAAGTATAGAAGTATTATAGAAGACTGAAGTACTGAAGGTTATTAATGGATACTGCTGATCCTTGATGCTGCTTAGTCATGTTAATGTCTAACACAGAAAAAACTGTTAATGGAATTGTATTGTCTTCCTACAACTACATTGTATTTTTGATGGAGCACAAATATAGAAGCATATACACTTCTCTACTCTGGAAGGGATATATAAAATACATCCAGAATACCTGATATTACACCATGTGTAGCTTTTTTTTCTTTGTCTATCGTAATGTCTAGGACTTGCAGATTTTTTGTTTCTACTTATTTTCCATTGAAAAAATACTCCAAAATGCATTCTTCCTACTAAGAAGAAAATTCAGTAAGGAAAAATATTGTTCTGTGAGGCAACAGAACAAACAGAAACAGGGACAAATTGTATTATTGGTTTGGAGTTGCACTTTAATTATAACTTCTCTTAATTATCTTATTTTTATTTTTTAAATTTTATTTGAAGGGGTGAGAGTCATTCAAAGTAAACTTGAGGATGGGAAACAATAATTAGCATAGTTAATAATATGTGTGATATGCTTTGATGTGTTCTAGTGGGAAGCTAAATGTCTAACAGCTGTATTTATGTATATGACCATTACAACATATTGTGTTAGTATTCAATGGAAAATAAAGAATATTTAAACCATAGAAGTAACAAACAGTCCTCAGACTGTTGATGAACACTACTGATAATAGCACCAAGAGAAAGCAGACTCAAGAGAAAGAAGTCAGAATGCCCAAAATTTTACAACTAGGGACAGAATATAAGCCCACAGCAAGTCTCAGGAGTCCAGAAGTCTTCCTTTCCAAGGAAATATTGTCCTTACCATGAAATACATAATGTGTTCCTCCTCAGCAGGGACCCCTGAAAATCCAGATGATCACCCAGCTTGCAAAATATAGCAAGATGCTTACAAACTTAATGCACTACATCCATGATGTCAATTTGTGGCAATTTTTACTTTTGACATCTCTCTGTTGCATCAGTCTCAGCAGTGGTGACACAAATGGAGCAGTAAGCAGGCTACCACCCACCGAAAGGGTAAGGGCCCTGACAGGGCAGGACAGAAGCTAAACCAGCAGATGGCAAATGCAAACCCAAACATTCAGTTCACTCAGCTGTTAATGCCGCCCCCACTACCTAGCAGGTTTTCCCTCCGATTTGTTAATACATATTGCGAACACTTGCAGCTAACTTTCATATGCCTGCAAGTCTCCTCTCATACTCACTGATCTGGAGACCTGAGCATGGTAGTAAAGCTGTGATTTAGACTCCTATTGATTAGAATGGCTAAACATATTTTTGTGGTCAGGAGCTAACTGATAAATGTTGAGGTTTTGGGGCGTTCAGTTCCTCAAGACCAAGCTAAAGTATACTGCCTGACTTAGTGCTAATGGCAACTTTTCTTCATTACTGATGACTCTGAATTCTAATGGCTGGTGTTACAGGCATGTCTCTGTTTATAGTTCACTTTAAGTGCTCAGAGGTGAACCTAACCCTATTCCTATTCAGGAATTTTTCTGAAATGAACTATAGTTACAAAGACCTCCAGTGTGCTATACAGAAGTGGTGTTCTATTTGTGCTTTGAGACTCAGAATTTCTCCAATTAGTTATGCTAGTGTAATACTTCTGTCTTCAAGTTTTTACAGTAGAAAGCAATTTGCCCCAAATATGCATATTTATATTCATATAATTGTTTATTTATTCTCCAAATAAACTTAAGTGGATGATGGCAATAATTATGTTACTGTTCCCAATTTCCCATTCATCAAATCAATTTTTGAATTCTCAAAAGTTGTTTTCAACTCAGCCTTACTTTATGCTTCCTACTGAATTATTTCAGCTGAAAAGGGACTTTCTGACCCATTCTCACTTCCTGCTCGACGGCCTGGATAGTGACAGCAGTATGTTAGCAAGTTGTCAACCTGCCCAGATGGTGAATATCCAAGAATGCTGAAAGAGCTTCAGAATAAACAGGCTGATCTGCTAAGAATACACAGGCCTTCATTAAAAACCATTTATGTGCAAAAGAACTGGAAGTAACAAATATCATGTCTATTTTTATAAAAAGTTCATGGGATGATCAGCAGAGTTTCAGACGAGTAAGATCCACAGTTATATCTAGCTGAATATCTG